GTCAAGCACTGAGCTGGACTGAAGTTAATGTTTAATTTTCTCATAGGGTAATTTGTAATGTCTTTGAGTATAAATATAGGAATGTGGAAATGTTAGTGAAGAAGCATCATCCATAACTACGTGGGTCAGAATATCATGCAGAAGGAGAAATTATGAATTAGAGGAGTAAGACTAAAGACATGGCATGAAACCACCTACTAGGGACTGCTCAGGCACTTTGATACCAATGACAAGAACATCCTCTACAAGCTGGAACTGCTGCAAATGACAAAAGGAGAATAACTTGGGGTCATATTAACCTCTGACTTACTGTGTGTATTTGATGTCATGTAGAAAGACAAGCCTGAGCCTGAAAGGTGTCTCTGGTCAAGGAAGTGGGTCATTAATGCCACTGTGCCAGCACTGGTGAGATCTGACCCACAGCACTGTGTAATTCTTGCCACTTTGAGGAGGAGCTGGGAAAGGTCACTCTGCCATGAAGACAGGAAACAAAGATCTGGGTTAAATGACTCAACCTGCTCCAGTTATTCAGATAGATAAACACCAACAACATTTTGTAACATATTTCCTCTCAGCAATAGATCCAGGAGCTGGCACTGAATGGGTGGTTAGTTCTGTGGGGAACAAGTAGGCAATATTTCATCTCTGAATGTTGCCATTTCTGAGCTGTGCCTTCCTAAGGATGTTGCTTACACTGCAAGCTAACAGGCAGGAATGAAGTTCACTCTGGGGCAGTTGAATGGTGCAATTCCTGCATCTCATTTAAATGCTCAGAGTAGGGTTGGAGAAGGGGAGACCTACTTTACGAAGGGTTTCTTTTTAGGACCTTTAGTGCTTTAGGATCTTCAGCTTTTCAGGACTTCTTTTAGCTCTTTACTATGAGGGTGGTGAGACACTGGAACAGGCTGCCCAGAGAGGTGGTGGAGGCCCCATCCCTGGAGACAATCAAAATCAGGCTTGATGGGACTCTGAGCAACATGATCTAGTTGTGGATGCCCCTGCTTACTGCAGGGGGGTTGGGCTGGATGACCTTTTGAGTTCCCTTCCAACTCAAAGCATTCTATGATTCTATGATTTCAAGCTCAGTAAAACACACACAAAAAATCATAGATAATTTTTTTAAAAATCATAGATTTCACATAGCTAGTTTGCCAGTCTTACTATTTCTTGAGTCTTAAAATCAGTTCTTCTCACTTCTGAAAATATTTGGCTAAGACTGTGCCTTAGCCTGGGCATATAGGCTTATGCACCAGGCATTGTTCAAATACAGTGAAGAGATATTGAGAATGAGGATTTGCTCAGTTATGGAACAGGTTTGTGACCTTATTCAACCTGCTACCCACTGTGCATTTCACCATATTATACTAATAACTAGTATAACTGCATTATACTAAGCATTATTATACTAACAACTAGTATAACTGCATTATACTAAGCAAAATACTCACATTTCTGTAAGGTTTTATCCTGATCAAGCACTTAGAATAAAGAGTAAAATAAGATGCATGGTAGATTAAGGAAGATTTATAAAATTAAAGGAATAAAGATTAAAAGAAAGTGCATAAGAGCTGGAATTTGTGTGCACCATAATGCTTTAGGATTTAAAACTGTCACACAGCTTGGAAAAAAAAAAAAAATTGGGACCTTCCTTTCAGTTGCCTGGTAGCAGTCACTACCAGGAACAGGGGTCTGGACCAGGTGTGACCCTGTCTTCCTCTGCTAGAACAGCAGCTCCAGGTGAAAAACTTCAGGGTTCTCTTATTTCCTTGAGTAGCCAAATGTGCTTCCTAATCTTCATCTCCTGGTAGTGCCTGAGACCTCTGTGTGACTAGCACCCCACTCTTTTTTCATCCTCCTTTTGCAAGCACACAAGACTCATAAAAAAAAAGACCTTAATTCAGACTTGTGAAAGACATGGGGTGAAAAGGGTGCAGGAATGTTTTTTGTCTTTCAACTTCAATGTAAATCCTCTGTGTGAACCCCTTTCCTAGCCATGGATTTCCTCTGAATGTTTGTGATTTTCTAAAGAGAAATGCTGTTTTTCTTGGTCTTGGCACCATAGCAGATGCAAATGGTGGTACTGACTATGACAGAGCTCCGTAGAGTATCTGTGGTGAGGGGAAGCAGCAGTAAGTGAGCAGTAACAGTAATGTACCAAGTGTCATTTACCCTAAGATCTTGGAGCCACCAATATTTTCTAGCAGGACTGAACTGCTGGACCAGTGGTTTTCCATTGGGTTTGGGTTGTAGAAGAATTTTCCCAGTAGAGGTGACAACTCCTTCATGGTCAGTCTAGATCTAATAAGACTTCATTGTTCTGCTTGCCTTCCACAGAACATTCATGGTTGTGGTGCATGACACCCAGGAAGCTGCAACCTGTGAGGCTGAAAATCACAGGAGACAGTGGAACACAAAAATTTTTGGACACCTCCAGTACCACTTGTATACTCGCGTCCTTCTGGAATGGGGAGCTTGAACAGATGATGCAGAATCCATCATTTAGAGAGAAGGAAAAGTTTATTGGTTCTTTTATAAAAGGAAACAGTCTCCATAATACATTATTATAAATATTTATAAATATTCAGTGGGACTTAAGACCCACTCAAATAAATAAATAAATATTGCAGTATAAATAAGTAATGATTTCTTATCTCTGGTGATTGCCAGCATCTCCTTTGAAGAATTAATTCTTTTGACAGTTTGATGCAATTCTCTGTGGTTACAAATATGGGGGTTTAATGCAAAATCCACCGTGCATTCAGTCTTAGCTTAGGGAGTAAACCTCCTGGCTACTGGTGGAGTGAGCAACACTTCTTACTTTGTTCTAACATATGAATATAGAGATGGTATAGAGATTTAATCCCACCAACATTTTCATCAAAGTTTGATGTGGATCAAGACAAAACTTTTTGTGATTCAAATTGTTGTAGGCCCATTGACTTGGAGCCCCCTGTGGAGCTTACAACAACATATGCAAAATTTTGCTCGTGTAATTGCAGTCCAGAGTTCTCAAGGAGCAAAAGCCAAGAAGAATGGTATAGGAATCAAGTAAAAATATTAAACCAGAGCATATAAATGAAAATCACACGTCTCCACTGTGTAGACAGCAAGGTAAAAAGTCTTTCTGTGTTTTGAACAAGCAAGAAAATATATAACTATCCACCCACTCTGCAATTCTCCTAAACTTGTTGGAATCACTCCTTCTTATTTGAAACTAATCAAAAACATGATGATTTTAGAGGAAACTATGAGACAGAACTCTTGGTCTAATCCTAATCAGTTGGTTTGTCCTGTGCTCTTAAGAACCTACATGAATTGGGAATCACTCTGTGCAGGAAGACTATTCTAACAGCAGAATCAGGCCCTACCTATGACTTCTCTAACGTAACAACTTGGGCCTTGTAGATATATTATATGTAGGCATACATATATATATTATTGCTATGAGCACACCTAGGACAAATGTACCTTTCTCAGACTGTTGTCGGGCTGTTAAAACAGAAGAATCTGCATCTTGACATGCAGAAAATGCACACACCCCAAAATAAATAGCTCCTCACAAATATTTACCCCACTGGATTTTTTTTGTGCAGCTCATCAGTACTTGGCTATTGATTTCTGCAGCGTACATCGAGAATAACTTTTTTAAAACCACACAGATTTAAGATATAGGAAGATCAAATCAAAATGAAGAGAAATATGGAAGAAAAATAGCTCACTGCACACAGAATTTTCAGAGTCCTTGTGGAAATGAATATAGCTCCATTAAAACCAATCAAGCTATAATGAATTTTACCAGATAAAAACTTGGCATCTAAATTACAATAAAAAGCTCTGCTCTGCAGATATTGCATCTTAATTCAAGATCTGTAAACTTCAGATGTTTATATGGAGGGTAGATTCTGATAAATAAACTTACCTATGATATATGCTATAATATATATTTAGGGGAAAGGTTTTGTCAACATTAGAGATCTCCTGATTAATATTAATTTCACTCTTGCCTGTATAAAGCATCTGATAACTGCTCAGAACTAAACAGAAACATGGATGCTAAATGTAGATTCTCCTCTTCTAAATCCAAATGTAATTTCCACTTGTTAGATGGGAGTCATCATGAGCTACTAATTATTTGATGCCTATCAGGCATATTTTTTTTCTTTTTCCTTGTCTATGTATAGTTCAGCAGTGTACAAACCCAAACTGTGCTGTTTAACCTACTGTTGATTAATTGTAATCCTGATGCTTCTATCTGGGTTGGAAATATGCAAAACTAATAAATGTCTCTACATTATATTTCCATATTATGATGCTGGAATTTGGTGAATATAGAAATATGCTCTTCTTTTTATTTTCCAAACCCCAGTTTGGCTTAAAAAGGTGTTAGAAATTACTCGTTCTACAGAAAACCACTTGATCCTGTCCTGTTCTCCTGTCAGTTATTCCAGTTTTCCATGTGTGCTGCTCCTATGACAGCAGAGTGATCACTTTCTGACTCTTAAGGGTATGAAAAGAGACTGAAGCTCCAACTTAACAGGTAAAAATACATATAGTAATTTTTATATACAAATAGAGCACACCATCAGTTGGTTTGTTTGCCACGCTTGCACACCAGGGCTGGTGCTGGTAAAAGGATTCCCCGTCTCTACTGGAATCTCAGATGCTCCAGGTCTCTTCCCAGTTACAACAGCAAGGCAAAATCAGTTTCCCATTTCATTCAAGTGAATTGGCTTTTTTCAGACCCAAAAATATTTGGTTTCTATTATTCTTTTAAAAAATGTGTCTTCTTTCCAGTAATAGAAAGCCCCAGCTGGAAAACATCCAACTTTTTTTTCCACTTAGCTGTCACATGTAAGTACAAAATTTGAAATCAATGATTTTTTCCCAGAATCTTTCAGTTTTCTAATAGACATTTGGACATTCAGACTGAGCATGGTAGACAGTTCCTTTTCCCTGTCATATTCACCCCCATTTTTGATTTGCATGTGCTGGGGCCACAGTTATCTTGTAATATAAAAGCGAGGACTTGGGTACCTCCTGGCATCCATCATAGCGTGGGGGTCATCGGGGTTGACCACGTCGTTCTGGTTGATTCTCATGGGTTCTCTGGGCATGTGGGAGAAGTCTGCTTGCTGCTGCAGCTGGGATCTGAACACAGAGATCTTTCTCTGCGGGACGAGGATCTGGTGGGGATCCATTGGATCAGTGTCTGCGCTTCTGGTAATTCTGTGGGGCTCGGGTGTGTTGAATCGAAACAAGGGGATTTCATTTCTCCTGGACAAAAACTGAGAGTATGGTGGTGGATTCGTACCGGGGAGGAAAGCTTGTTTAACTCTACCTAAGCTAACCAGGAAGCTGTGTTTGGGAGACTGGTACACATCATATCCATTTTCCAGCGTTCTGTGGTTGAACGTGCAGTCCTCTTGGCTGAAGTAATGCTTAGGGGAAAAAATATGACACCTGTGAGCAGAGCAATTTGGTGGAACATGAAATCATAGTGTCATAGAAACACTATGGTTGGAAAGGACCTCTAGGATCATCCAGTCCAACCAACATCCCAACATCTCCCTAACCACTAGACCATAGCCTCAAGTGCTACATCCACTCATTTTTTGAACACCTCCAGGGATGGTGACTCCACCACCTCCCAGGGTAGCCCGTTCCAGTGTCTAACCACTCTCTCAGTGAAGAAATTCTTCCTAATATCTAATTGAAACAACCCCTGACACAGCATGAGGTCATTTCCTCTTGTACTATCATCAGTGATTTGGGAGAAGAGGCCAACACCAGCCTCAGTACAACCTCCTTTTAGGTAGTTGTAGAGAGCAATAAGGTCACCTCTCATTCTCCTTTCTCTAGACTAAAAAACCCCAGTTCCCTCAGCTGGTTTTCATAAGGCATTTTCCAGCCCTCTCACCAGCCTCATTGTCCTCCTCTGGACCTGCTCCAGCACCTCCATGTCCTGCTTATCCTGTGGTGCCCAAAACTGGACACAGGACTCAAGGTATGGTCTCACCACTGCCAAGTCCAGGGGCACGATCACCTCCCTGCTCCTGCTGGTCACACCATTTCTGATATAGGCCAAGATGCCGTTTGCCTTCTTGGCCACCTGGGCACACTGCTGGCTCATGTTCAGCACCACCCCCAGGTCCTTTTCTGCCAGGCAGCTTTCCAGCCACTCCTCCCCAGGCCTGGAGCATTGCCTGGGGTTGTTGTGACCCAAGGGCAGGACCCAGCACTTGACATTGTTACACCTCATTCAGCTGACCTCAGCCCATTGCTCCAGCCTGTGCAGATCCCTCTGCAGAGCCTTCCTACCCTCCAGCAGATCAACAATCCCCTTAATTTTGTGTCATCTGCAAATTTACTGAGGGTGCATTCCATCCCCTTATCCAGGGCATTGATAAAGATATTAAGACTAGATGACAAGTGCTGATTAAAGAGAGAAAGAGGGATAAGATCTTGCAGCAAGTGTTATCCTTATCTGCCAGCTTTGTAACTCAGCCAAAGTCAGGCTTAGATCTGACATGCATGCCCATGTTTTCAGTAAAGATATTAGAGCAACAAGAGTTTTCTTTCAGAGGGCTGCATTGTTTGAGCTGCTCCCACTACAGCAGTAATTCAGATTGGTCCATCACATTCTGCCTTCGTTTACCCAAGCAGAAACTCAGAGGAGTTTTGTCAGCTCTACAACTCAACGCAATCAAAGAAGAGAGGACAGTTTAAGCTAAGTGGCAGGTCCTCAGCTTGCTTAGATCTGCATCCTCCTACTGTAGCTGTACAGATTTGCCCTCGCTGAGGAAATAGGCACCGCAGTAGCGACTGTACCTGCCTAATTCTTGAGTCTTAGTAAAGGTCACTCACCGAACCAAAAATGTTTCCACTCATGTCCATGCACAGGTAGCGCCCGCTCTTCACACCCGTGATTACTACTGAGCCAGCACCCTCAGCCTTGATCATCAGGGCACCTGTTTAGAAACACAAAGATGTCGAGTCCAGGACCCAGTTTGACACTGCACTCACTGTTGCCTTACAGAGCCATGGATGCTGTGGCTGGAAGTGTCCTCTGGGCACCTGAACCAGCATCCCACATGGCCTGGGACTATTGCCCACCCTAGATCCGGTTAGCTGTGGCTTTGTCTGAGTTTTGGAAAGCTCCCAGGAAGGACATGCCACCAGCTCTCTGGGTGCCCTGTTCCAGTGGTGCATCAACCTCCCAAAGACAACTTTTTTTTTTTCCCTAATACCCCTTCTGAAGTCCCAAACCATATTCTGGGGAAATGGCCCTTAGTCCTGTCATCAGCTACCGAGGGGAGTTTGCCTCCCTTATCTTTGTGAGTGCCCTGTGGCATTAGATTGTCCTTAACCTCCCTTTTGCTATACTAAACAAGCCCAGCTCCCTCTTCTTTTCCCAACAGAATGTGCTTGAGATCCTTGACCATCCTCAAAACCCTCTGCCAGACCAGCTCCAGTTTCTCCACATCCATCTTGAACTGGGGTTGCTATATAGCTCCAGGAGTAGTTTCAATGGTGCCAAGTAAAGTGGGAGTTACAACTTTCCTTGATCTGCTGACCACAGTAGGTGTTTTGCCTTCCTCTCAAAGTGAGAGTGCAGTTGGTTTATGTTTGACTCGGTGCCTGCTGCAACCCTCAGGTCCTACCCAGGAGGGCTGGACACATCCAGACTCTGCAGCTGCAGGGGGTTATTGCAGCCATGCTGAAGGACTTTTCAACTCCCATTTTTCTGGCATCTCTGTGGTACTGTGGTGACCTGGCAGAGATTCAGTCACCCTCCCTTTCATGATTCTTTTCATTGTCTGATTTCCACTCTTCCTGCTTAACCATTTCAAATATTGGTGTATTTGCTTCATGGCAGATATGGAAAAAAACATGATACTTTGCTGTCTGTTTTCTCTCAAAAATATCACCCTAGTTCTTGACCAACATACCTAAAATGAGGTTTATAGAACTTTTAAATATGAAGCAAGAATAACAACAAGTCAGTGCAAGCCTTCCTGCAAGTGTTTAATTAGTGATTTCTAAAAATAAATTATAAAATAGCAGAACATTATCCTTTTTCTTCCTTGATTAAATTACAACTTTTAAAAACATCCTTTTCTCCTTATATGCTTACGTAAAAACATCATTATATATGCTTATGATTTTAATTGAGTGTATGAATAAGACACTATGCAGCCATAATAAAAAACATGGCTTTGTGATGCCTAGCTACTTGTGATTTGAGTGCTACTAAAAGAGAAGTACTTTTGAAATTCTATGAAAGAATTTGAAGTCTTTTTAAAAAAAAAAATATTTTTTTAGTAACTGTAGTGTTTGGGCCAGGTATTCAGCAAAGGAGGAACACCTTAGTTCTCTATGGAAATAAACTGTGATGAGACAGTTTGAGAATCTTGTAGTTACAGTAGAGAATAGCTACTTCTTGGGAAGCTACTTCTTTTATCATAGTCTGGCCTTTCATGTTTTCCTTCAGTTTAATAAACTTTTGCATATCCATGTTCTATGCATATTAGAGTTAGTTTCAGTAGTTACCAGCTCTCCACCCCAAAATAAAGATTTTGTGGGTGTTATCAGTTTTCCAGCACTGCTGTGGTGAGTTCCCTCAGTGCAGTTCCTTTGGCAATACTGTCACTGGAATGGAAAGCAGTTATTTGGGGGATATCATCACCGGCCTCTAGCAGGAACTTCCACAAGAAGCTGTGGGTAAAACAAGTGAAGGATAATGCAGAGTATTACAGGAGCCACAGGACTTCTCTTATGCAAGGAATGAAATACCTCATCCACTAGATTTCTTTTTTTTTATGATTTTGTGTATTTCTTAAACAAAAGGAGGTTTATAATTACGTCTATTTTCCATCGCATAGCTATACTCCTCTGTCTGCCTGCCTAACAAGAGGAGTGGGTTTTCTGTAGGCAGTGAGAAAGCAAAAGCCTTGGTCTCCCTCCCCTGGTCCCATGGAGACCGACCGTCCATGGTGAGTTACTTACTGTATATGGTTTGGTGTGGGACACCATCAACGTAGCCATCAGCGTTGATCTGGAGATGGAAGCTGTTCCTCTCCGTAGCTGTGTAGAGGTGCATCAGGCGATCCACGTTCCCCCAGCTGGGATTCAGCAGTGGAGAGGAGTTGGGAAAGGAGAGGGTGGGCTTCAGGCTGCAGAGTGCCAGCAGCACGTACCCCAGGCAGCTGTAGGCACTGCTCTGTGGCATGGCTTTCACCTTCCTAGCTGGTGTTGGTATCTGCAACTTGATCTGCTCTGCGCTTCTCGATTGCCCTTGGTCGCCTGTGTCTGGAGTGTGAATCCTCAGACAGGTTCTCTTCCTTTCAGCAGAGGCTTATAAAGAGCAGCGAAGTGACATCACACAGGAAAAACTTCTCCACATCCTTGATTTTTGTCAAAGCAACATTTTAAGTGTCCCGAAACCTCAAGGGAAGGATCTCTGGCTAAGGTGCGGGGGGGAAAAATGTAAGGTTTCTAAAGACAGCTCACGAAAGCTAATCATATGTTCAAATGTTATCTACAACCCTGTGACATCTGAAATCTTCCCACGCCCCTACTGTTAGATCCAGGAAGAGCAATCCACTGCACTGCACTTTTACTGAAGGGAATGACCCTTCAGACCTGGATGAACTTTTTTGTCAGATATGTTTATCCAGACTCATTCACCTCCCCTCTCGGTTTCCAAACTACATTCTGATTTTGTGGAAACATCAAATACAGCTTTTTTTTTTTTTTTTCCCAAATGTGTCAAAAGCTGCTATTATGTTGCCCTGGGCCTGATTCCCCCTTCGTTGTGGTGTGAATTTAACAGTGAGCCTGTTGGGCTGATATTTGTACCACTCCATTTAAGCAAAGGAAACTTGGTATGAGCACAACCCACCTCAAATAAGCTGTCCCTTTTATTTCTCCTGTTGCATTTTGAGTCACAAGTAATTTAAAGTTGGCCAAACAGCTGAAAATTACCTGTAAAACACTTAAAAACTCTATGTTTGTTCCTGCACTGCACATCTGGCTGCAAGTCTTTTACAGAGTCGTAGAGGTTAGCATGGCCAGTAGACCTGGGGTCTGAATCAAACCTGAAAACACTCTTATTGCCACATACTTCAGGTACAGCAAGCATGCTTGGAAGAACTACAAAGGGATATGACCAAGTAAAACGACGAGATTTAAAAGTGTTCCAACATACAAAATCTGCTTTTCAGTTGTCCTGCCAATGTTCTGCATCTTTACAAACAAATTTGCTGATTTAAAAAATATGGTCCAAATTATTGTTTGAAAATGGTGTGCTAATGGGACAGTGTGTATACAGGTAAAACCATGATGACAGGAATAACATGTTTCAAAACTAGACTGTGTTATGGTTTCTTTCAAAAATTAATACAAAACTGAAAAAAAAAAAGTGCCAAACAATGAATTAATGATTTCTTTTAAAGAAACCTGAACATTTTAATTGCAGCAGTCTTAGGTTCTAGTTGGACACAGGATGCAAAGTTCTTAGTTTCATTAACAAACAGTGGAGCAGTGCCACCACCACCAAACATATTACAGATTGATACAGCTGTAACCAGGTGCACACATTGATCTGATGTTTCTTTTTTTTACCATTGAAAATGAGCAAAACTCTGCCAAATTCTTCTGTTACATCTGTGTAAATCTCGAGGCTTGCGTCAGTGTGTATCCACCTGTGTAAATGACAGCCAAAGGGTATAAGGGTCATACCTTAAGCTGAGTAGGCTGGCAAAGCTGTCTTCACTGAGAGGCAATCTAGGCTACAGATGCTTTACTGGTTATAACATCTGAAAAGTTCTACTTAAATTCAAAAGATAGCTTGGAAGGAAAGGAGGGTTATTTTTTCTTCTCTTTTAAAGTAATTATCTAGTGTTGAAACTAAACACACAAAAAAAATGTTTGGGGTTTTTCACTATTTGTTTTATGTTTCTTTTACTCCCTTTCATTAGCCTAACATGGAAATGTGAATATGTATAACCTCAGAAGCAGCAGCAAAAGTTTCTGTGAGAAGCACTTATAGAATGGTGTGTCTTGGAATTTTTTGTGATTCTTTTGTGAACGCAGCTTTTCTGGTTTGATATTTCATATTCAGAATGAAATTTTTCTGTGTTTGCCATTATGCACTCATCTGATCTCTCTCTAGTGTCTGAGCTGCAGAGAAACTATTCTCAGATGTCTGAAAAATATATTCAAACCCCATTGTAGCACATTCCAGTTGTGACCAGATGTTTCATGATTTTATATGTCAAAGAAGCAAACCCTACTTTCACATGCTTAAATCATCCAACATTTTCAAAAGTTTCCCATAGGGTCAGCAAAACTCCAGACTTTGCCGAGTTCTTTTTAAGCTGCTGGGCGAAAGCAAGTTTGTGTAAGTCTCTGTTTGTGAGGATGATAATGAAATGTCTGCCTTCTCAGAGATGTTCTCTTTTTTCTGTAAACCTTTATATGGGGTATTTATTTGTTTGTTTTAACAGTGCATTTTTTCTTTCAAGCTGGTGTATTTATTCTTTCTGTTGATATCTCACTTACCTCCTCCTACCCATTCAGCTGCTGATGAAGTAACCAGGTGTAAGAAAGCTTGTGTACTTCTTCAGCTGTGTCTATTAATCCAATAGAATTGATGACAACCTTTCTCCTGCTGTCATGACACTGTTGCATCAGTAATAACAATATTCAGCAACTTGTGCCGCGTATGTTGATACTGCTCTTTTAGATCTCTGTGTTGTTCCATTTGATGAGTCAAGACAGTTTTTCTCAGCTCTCAGTAAAGAATCAGCTTCAGAGTCTTCCAAATTTTGCTTGTTTTTGAAGAAAGAAAAAAAGTTGAACTGAATTGGAAGACCAAAACATTCCAGCAAACTCAGAACTGCTGTTCTTCCTTAAAAGCCACATTAGTCCAAATGGATAATTCAGGTAGTGCAAAGTTTTTGTTCACACATGAAGATGAGTTAAGTTCATCCTTCCTATGAGGAGGCTACACTTTTAAGTAGATAGGAGGGAAAGTGGTTGCTGTGAAACCAGCAGTGTGAGCACATGTGTAGCCTGAGACACGCTGGTGCGGAAAGACAGGTCTGACCTATGCCTCAGGACTTGAACATGGACGTTTTTGTGGTCAGCATGTCCACATTGCCACATTCTCCACTTCCCTTTGCAGGGATGCTACACAGCTAGTGTCAGGCTTTCCTTGGAAGCATCCTGCAAAGGCAGCTGGGAGAGAGCCCAGAGGTGCCACCCATGGTGGATGCTGGGAACCACCAGGGTTAAGTGAAGATATTCACCCTTCAGAGCAAGGCTGAAAGGAAAAGATGGACAAAACAGGCCCCAGCTTGCAAGCCTAAATTTATTTGAAAAAAATCACTGATTCTCTATCCCTTAGTGGGTCTCATTCCCCTCCCTTTCTCTGCCATGCCTTCATCCCAAGCCCGCTCCTGCTGCCTCCGTGCTTCAGAGGCAGCGTGGCTCTGGCTGAGCCCGACAGCCTGGGCACCCGGCTGTAACACCCCCTGTGCCCGTGCCTCCCGTGGGTGGTGTGTGCTAGGGGTGCTGGCCCAGGACACATGGTGGATGGCACACAAAACACTGAGTACCTGTAAATGAACATCACGACTTTCAGTGGAAAGTTTTGTGCTTTATTTAAAGCTGATCGTTTAACGGCGATTTAGAGGCAAACCTGAACAGAGAAGGAACGGAGTTAGGGTCATGGGAGCCACCTGGGATCTGATTTCCTCCCATTTTGGCTGCTTTGAGTTTCAGACAGGCCATTTTTTTATCAAACCTTACAGTTTCATATGAGTAAAACCCTGATCTCTGCAACTGTTTGTCATCCCTTGTCCCACTGCTAGCAAAATAGCTCTTTTTATTTATTGCTTATCACTTCAGTCAGCCGCAGAGGACTGACAAGGGAAAGGCAAGCTTTTCTACAACAAACAAGTTACTACAAGTCATTTGCAGGCCCCTTGAAAGCGCTTTATGCACCACCAAAAATTTGCAGGTTAAAAAAAAGGAGTTTCCTACTCAGTATACTGGGGTTGCATTCCAGAATTCTCCTACGAGTAAAACCGCACGTTCCCTCAGAGTGGAGGACTACCTTTCATCATGTGGGGGCACCTGTAACACTGTTGCTTAATAAAGTATATTGACTTATATTTAAACAGGTGTGTGGCTTGTCCTTTTGCAGAACTTTGTGCAATCTGGGTATCTGGGATGGCCTCGGGAAGCTTCTTGGTCTCTGCTGTTTCACAGATTACAAGGGAGTTTGGGCTGACAGATTTGAAATTACCTCTGCTTTTAACAATTTTCTTTGCATTGCACCTCTTCAAAGAGGTCAGAGAAATCAGGGCCCCTTCCCTCTGCCTCCCCTTCCTTAAAATCACAGTAATAGCTGGCTCTGGGACAATCACATCGTCAGTGTTGGAAATACAAGGGTGGAGTGCCTCTCCAGAAGTTATTTTAGGAATAATGACGCACTCAGTCAACGATATGTACAGTGGATGCTCTGTGTGTATGTGTGTCCATGAGCCTCTGCCACAGACTTTACCCGGTGTTGTTAAACACATCCTGAGTGACCTTATTTGGATGTCCCATTCTTGTCACACTGCCCACGACTAAAGAAAACATCCTGGCTAGGTTCACCTACGTGAAACAAATGAGGTAAGCACAGCCCACTGGGTCTGGGACCACAGTATGTACCAACAGCTTTTGCTGTGTGCTTGCCAAATATGTTGTTTTGGGTCTTCTCTTTTTCCTCGTTCACCTTTTCTCTCTGTAGTAGACATTTTGGGAATCCATTTCCAACGTCAGCAGTGCTAAGTCACCTGCACAGGCAGCTGTGAGACTGCTAGAGTACCCTTCCAATGCCTTTCTCTACGGGATGTGGGATGTGTGGTCTTCCTGAGAAGTGCCTGTCTTTTCTTCTTGACACTTTTCTTTCCAGTCAGGCAGAAGGTTGGCATAAGCTTTCAGCTCTGGTTCACAAGTCCAAAAGGTGAGGAGGGGCAGCTTTTGCTAGTGGCTGTAGAGATTGTGGCCTTTCAAAATTTAATGCAACAAAAGCAGGTGGTAAAAGAAAGCCCCAGCATTTTGCTGCCTTCTGAGGAGGAGGTAGATAAGAAAGTAGACTTCCCTGCCCGCAGCTGTCCCAGATGGGCATTTGTGATGCTGTTTGTGTTGTTTTGCTTGAGCTAACTGAAATGAAGG